GGAATTCCCGTCCCTGTGGATCTGGGCTGGCCTTGGCCGTGCTCCCTCCAGACCCCACATTCCCAATCCCTCCCTTCCCGAGGGAGCTCCGGGGGGTTTGGGATTCTCCCTCATTCCCGGATTTTTCGGGATTTTTCCCAGATTTACCGCGGCCACTCGGGCCTGGTGCGGACCCTGAGCGTCTCCCCCAGCGGGCAGTGGTTGGTGTCAGGTACGGATCCGCCCCCGCATCGGGAATTCCCGGGATAAATCCCACGGATCCACGGCCCAGCAGCCCCTGGGGCCGGCGTCGGCATCGGGAATTCCCTCCTGGAAAATCCCAACCTCCCGGGATTGGCCCCAGCCCGGAAAATTCCAGAGCTTTCCCAGCTGCTCTGGGGTCCCAATCCCATCCCATTATCCCAAAACCATTATTCCCATTATCCCAAATCCATTTCCCCATTCCCATTTTCCCATTCCCATTATCCCAATCCCATTCCCCGGAATCTCAGTTGCCTTCCCATTATCCCATCCCAATCCCATCATCCCATTACCAGGACTCCCATTCCCAACTTCCCATTCCCAGCTTCCCATTCCCATTATCCCAGTCCCATTATCCCATTATTTCATCCCCATTATCCCAATCCCATTATCCCATTCCCAGGAATCACATTCCCATTCTCATTATCTCATTCCCATTATCCCATTCCCAACTTCCCATTCCCATTATCCCAATCCCAGTCCCATTCCTGGGAATCCCAATTCCATCCCCATTATCCCATTATCTCGTTATCCCATTATCTCATTATCCCATTATCCCGTTATCCCATTATCTCATTATCCCATTTCCATTATCCCAATCCCATTATCCCACTCCTGGGAATCTCATCCCATTCACATTCCCATTATCCCATGATCCTATTCCCCATGATCCTGTGTAATCCCAGTATCAAATAATCCCATTATCCCATGATCCCATTCCCCATGATCCCATGATCCCATTGTGATCCTCTGTCTATCCCATGTCCATCCCGTGTTTATCCCATGTTTATCCCGTGTCTATCCTGTGTCCACCCTGCCATTATCCCATGTTTATCCCATGTCCATCCCGTGTCCATCCTGCCGTTATTCCATCGTTATCCCATGTCTATCCTGTGTCTATCCCATGTTTATCCCGTGTTTATCCCATGTTTATCCTGCCGTTATCCCATCATTATCCCGTGTTTATCCCATGTTTATCCTGCCGTTATCCCATCATTATCCCGTGTTTATCCCGTGTTTATCC